TAGCCCTCATGGTAACCCTGAAAGCAACCCTTATAGTCGGGCTTCAAGGAACCCTCATGGTAATAGCCCTCATGGTAACCCTGAAAGCAACCCTTATAGCAGGGCTTCAAGGAACCCTCGCGGTAACCCGATGCCCCAACAAACTCAGCAACCCTCTTTGCTGCTGCGCGGCCGGTGGTAGAAGTGATCATCTGCCACGGTCCTGCTCATAGGAATATGGCTTAATGTAGGGGCCTGAATACTTAGAAAAGGGTTTTGGTGCCCATTATACTACAATTATAATAAGGACCCCCAAAATAGTATTGGTAATTGTTAAGGCCCCTATATTCGGGTTTAGGGCTCAGGTAACAGTTGGACAAAACTTGCAGTAGGGGCTCCTTCTTTAGGATCCCCTACACCTTAAGCCCTACACCCTAGGCCCTTTACAACATTTTACAACCATGATCGGTGAGATAAGACGAGAAGGCCCATACTAGGAGCTAGAATTAGGGGGACCCTTGAGGATATATAGACCCTCTTTAAAGGAGGTCCGTTTGAAGAGAGCCACAAGTGGGGTTAAGAAGGGTCCCTTTTTAGGGGCCTCCGTACTACTACCTAAGACATAATGTAGGGCCTTAATAATTAGAATAGGGTTGTGGGGTCCTTTATAGTATAACTACAATACGGAACGCCCAAAAGAGTGTAGGTAATTATTGAGGACCCCATATTATCCAGCTAGAGCCGGACCATGAACCCTCAGCCAAGCTCCTCAAATCTACGGCCCTGAACCCTAAAGCAAAAGCAACAACAGGCTTAGGATTTGGGGTTTAGGGTTTTTTCATGTGTATTGGCTCCTCTTTTCCGAAGCGCCTGCCCACTGGGCTTGCACATGGTTTAAGAGTTAGGGTTTAGGATTTAGGGTTTTCCAAGCTTTTGGAGCTCCCTTACCCTAAGCCCTAAACCCTAAACCCTAAAAGCTATAAGGAGATCCCGAAGTGTCCGAAAGACTCTAACTGCGGGCTTGGCTGTGAAATGCCTGAACTTTACAGAGCTCCGACGCCGCGTCATGCCTTCTTTTGCAGCTCCGTTCTGGGCTCTTCTGAGTCTTGGCGGGATGCTCCATCCGAAAAAAAATCCGTCGAGTCGCCGACCTGCTCCTGTTGCGTGCTCTCCCCTTGCTTTGTATGACATGATGACGAAGAAGCGAACCCTAAACCCTACTAGCAACATAGAGGCCCTAACGAATGTCGTAGTGTGGTCGCACTTAGGGACTATAAGGATACACTACCACTGAATATTTCGAACACCTGTGTTTTCTAAGGCGAAGCTCCGGATGTCGGCACCTTTCAAAACCTCTTGGGGAGATAAATGCTCTTCTAGGGATGAGTAGAAGGTACCCCGAAAGCCTGTGTAAATTCTTGTTGTAGCCCGAACATTTGCGTAACAAGAACGTTTCAAGAAGACAGCACTAAGGTCAGCAGATGCTACATGCGTCCGCGGATTTCTTACTCTTCGTGGGTAGATCCGACCGCATCTGCGGCGTCTCTGACTCGTGTTCCAAAGCGTGCACCACTGCGTAGCACAGGGCATCCTCGACCCCGGTACCTTCGCAAGGGTCCTAGGGTTCCCTTTGGGCTTGCCTCTTCAAGGCCCTCCTTTTCTTAAAATGGCTGTTGTACTACAACGGTTCCCACAAGTTTTAGCGTGTAGGATCTGGCCTGAATCCTAAACCATCCACCCTAGAACCTAAACCCGTGCGGTTTAGAGCTTCGGGCCTTGCGGGTGGCGGATGTAGAGGAGGTTGGGGATCAGGGGATTAGGATGCAGGGCTTCGAGTCTTCGGGTTTTCGTGGCATCCTAAGGGTGTCGGGTTTAGGGCATCTTAAGGGTTTAGGGTTCAGGGCATCTTAAGGGTTTAGGGTTCAGGGCATCTTAAGGGTTTGGGGCTTGGGGCTTTCAGGGCATCTTTAAATCAAAGGGGACGGGACAAAGAAAACCATGCATTGGAACCCGCAGCAGTGACTTGTCTTGGCCCCTTGCTAGACATTTGCGCTTGGTGAGCTGGGTTCCCAACTAAGCCCTTAATGCCCTAGTGACAAAGCTAAGTTTTGCTTACTACTCAGAATCACAAACAAAAGAAGGCCCCCAAAACAGAGACGGAAAGATATCACCTTTGAAACGAATCTTGCTCTGAATCCCTGTTGGACATCCAAGCTTCCGTCTTTGGCCGATGTTTCGAAATACCGGAAGCCATGATCCGCAGCAAATTGCCTGGCCGCCTCGTAAGAAACTTGTCTTTCTGAGGCCAAGTCCAGCTTGTTTCCGAGAAGGACCTTCGTGACGGGTTTAGGGTTTAGGATTTAGGGTTTAGGGTTTAGGGTTTAGGGTTTGGGGTTTAGGGTTTAGGGTCAAGCTTGTTTCCAAGAAGGACCTTCGTGACAATTCCGTGGTCGTTGATGCTTCTGGCCAGCTGATGGGCCTGCTGCAAGGTGTCATGGCTCGCAAGATCTACGACAAGTAGTGCCTTGGCTTTCAGTACTGCAAAGAAAGCTGCACCCTGGTTCCTCTTGCTCCTGCCCTACTCCTAAAACCCTAAGGGAATCCCCAAAATACAAATAACAGGAAAAATGAATATATACAGATAGTAATGTAATGTTGAGAGTGGAAACCCTAATCCCAAACCAAACCCTAATCAATCCCTGAACCCTAACCCCTAAACCCCTAAACCCCAAACCCTGAACCCAAAACCCTAAACCCCACAACTGCTGGAGGACCGAGGAGCAGCATCCTTCTTCGGCAGCATGGCAGGCATTTTTGTCCTGCTAAGGAACTCCTGGCTTCGATCCCACAGACTGAGCGGTTTAGGATTCAGGGTTTAGGGTTTAGGCTTCAGGGTTCAGGGTTCAGGGTTTAGGGTTCGGGGTTTAGGGTTCGGGGTTCGGGGTTTAGGGTTCGGGGTTTAGGGCTTTCAACGTTTATGGGACTCCTGGCTTTGATCAAACAGAAAGACCTGATACAGCAAGCCATCGCAGACCACACGCACGTCCTGCGCTGAAACAACGCTAGGGAACTATTCGGTTTAGGATTTAGGGTTTAGGGTTTAGGGTTTAGGGTTTAGGGATGGTATATGGTTTCCATGGTATGATAGCTGATAACCTTATGTACATTATTGAAGTTCCTTGTCAAGACCCCAGCCTGGACGGTCTGGGACATGTTGGTGAGGACGTTCTGACAGAAGCTTCTCTGGAGGCTCGTCTTTCCTGCGCCAGGCGGCCCGACCAAGGCAAACTTCAGCTTCTCGCCGAAAACGCACGAAGGCCGCTCTCCAGGAGAGACAAGTCGTACCTATACTGAACTGAGACCCCTAGCAAAAATTATGATTTTTGCTGCTTCTTAGGGTTTATAGTAGCCAAAGATTAAAAAATATTTCTAAGTACCCCTAAGGTACGTCTGCCGTCTTCTGTATCAGCTGAAGGTCCACGGCCTCGGCCGAAAAGCCTAGGCTTTCCAGAGGAGATGCCGGTGGCAGAGCACTGCCCCCATGCAAGAGCACCTAGGTTGCCCATTATCAGCTAGGTTCCCCCACCATTAAGGGTAATAAGGAGACCCAAAACCAAAACCCTAAACCCTCAAACCCTTAACCCTAAAACCCTAAAACCCTAAACCCTAAACCCTAAAACCTAAACCCTAAAACCCTGAACCCTAAAACCCTAAAAGGTTCCTAAAGGTACGACGACAGGGACCTAGGCACGAAGTTCCCGGGACCCTCCTTCGACTCCACAGCCATAAGTATGTCGCGCACCAGAGCCCCTGCAGGCAGCGAGAGCTCGGTGCACAACTCGCCAGAGAGATGGTACACCCGGAATTTGTATTCCGACATGGCGGCACCTTCCTAAGGTGGTTTAGGGTATAGCGCACCCTTGCATGAGTATGGTGCCCCACGTCCTGCACGGATGCTGACACCACACCCGAAAGCTTTCAACAGTCAAAAGCCTCAGAATCTAGGCGTTTGGAGCCCACCCTGGACCTTTTGAAAGCTCTCCCCTAAACCCTATACCAAACCCTAAATAAGCTTCCCCTAAACCCTATACTAAACCCCGAATAGAACCCTCGAGACTCGAGCCCTCAACCCTAAGCCCTGCTCTCCGCAATCTGTCTGCATCTCGACCCCGGCTTCCAGGGCTCGAACCAGCCGTCCCAGTGGTGACGGGAGCTTGGGTTCCCTGTAAAGGAGCTCATATAGGGGGCCTTAATAATTAGAATCGGGTTTTAGGATATATTATACTATAATACAATAAGGTTCAGAGGCATCTTCTTAGAGTTCAGGGCTTCGGGCTGTTCTTAATATAGGAACCTGATTCAGAAGCCTCGGGTCGCTATTGGGGGTTCCTCAGATGGACCCTAATATTTTGGGATTATAGGACCAGGGTTTCTTAATCAGGTTCCAACCTTAAGCATCTTCGGTGGGCCTGATAAAAGCTCCGCTGAAGCTTTGCGAGGGTGACTTTGGTGTTTGGAGGTCAGAGCGCTGAGTTGCGGGACCTGGCCCAAGCTCTAGCAAAACCCTCTGAAACCCTCCTAAACCCTAAACCGTTTCATCATGTTTCATCCTCGTTGCTGGGGCGACAACTTGGGGAACGATGGCCGAAAACCCTTTCCGAGAGCATTCTAAAACCAAGAACTCCCGAACCGCGAGCCCCCGAAACCCTACACCCCCAGAAGCCTCAAGCCTTCAACCCCAACCGCTGAACTCCAAAACCATACACCTCCAAATTCCCAAAACACTACCCCTTGAATATCAGGAGCCTCATACTAAGACTATGAGAGATAATTACTTCAGGAGTTTACGTATTTAAGCCTCCATAGATTTTCGGTCGGAGGGTATGGGTCGGAGTTTTAGGGCATGAAGCCCCAAGCCTCGCAGAACCCTCCTTACAGAGCCTTACAGATCCCGTATAGAACCGTCATGAAACCTTGAAAGACACCCCTCTCTGCCCCTGCGTGGGGCCTCAGGGCGTCCACATGCAGATACGTGTCCAAATGCCTGGGTTTTAAAACGGGTTTATGGAGGTTTTGTAGGTCTTTAGAAAGGTGTTACCGTTTATCAGTGTTTCTGTTGGTGTCTACACGGGTTCCGTAGAGGGTCTATAGGGTTAAGACTTAAAACCAGGAATTGGTGGTGCAGCTTGGCTTTGTACTGTTGATGATATAAACCCTGCATTACCTTACGGACCCTAAACTATGGGAATTATGGTATACTCCTTATTCTGGGTAATGCAGGATTCTTATCATCGACCGTATTTTTTGGGGGGGGAGTCCTTAATATAGTTAATTGGTAAAAATATTCCAAAGCCCTATTCTAATGATTAAGGCCGTAGTGCTTTTAAAGGGAAAGGTAGGAATTGGGGTCTGGGCTCAGGGCTTGGTGTTGAGGCTCCAGGGCTGGAACATGGGGCTTAGGGCATAGGGTTTGGGTTTAGGGTTTAGGGTTTAGGGCTTAGGGTTTCGGGTTATAGGGCTTGGATATTGGAGCTTAATTAGGGTGAAGGGTTTAGGGTTTGGCTTAGGGCTTAAGGTTTAGATCTTGGGGTTGGGGGTTTCGGGCTTAGGGTTTAGGACTTGGGGTTTAGGGCTCTCGGCCTTCGGCCGCAGTATGCTTCGAAGCTTGGAGCAGCGGTTTGCTGCAGAGTTGGCACAGCCGCAAGCTGGGACCCCTTGAAGCCAGAAACCTCTGGTTTAAGGTTTAGGCTTTCGGGTTTAGGGTTTCGGGTTTCGGGTTTAGGGTTTAGGGTTTAGGGCTATGGTTGCTGTTAAGGAACTTAAACTCAGTTATTCTAGTGAGGAAACCCTAGCATTTACTATATATCCCCAGTATCGCAACTTGCATTAAGCAACCCAGTTTGTGCTTTTGCCTTCTAAACCTTTCGAGGTGCAGGATCTAATGCAGCTTCTTGAACAAGAGTCACCTGAAAACCTCAACCCTAAACCCTGAACCCCAATATCCTAAACCCCAACATCCAGACCCTGAACCCTAAACCCCAATATAACAGCCTTTGAATCTTAACCCCAGGCTTCACTAAGCAGGCTTTGAATCCCAAACCCCTGCAAGCACCCCAATTCCTGCGCTAGATCTCCAAACGTCAAGGTCCCTTTGAAGAAGGCCATAAGTGGGGTCAAAAAGGGTCATTCCTAAGAGGTTGGTGTTAGGGATTGGGGTTCAGTCGGATTTGTATCTTCGTGGGTAGTGTAGGGACCGTAGCCATTACAATGGGTGATGGGGCTTGTTGCAGTATAAAAATACATGTGTAGAGAGAGAGGGTAAGAGGATAGCATTTCCAACTCTTCCTACATTTGCATCACACATAACTGGGGTCCGAAGTAGTGGGCGCTACTGTTCTCACGCATGTTACGGGACCTACAACCCGGGCGGGCCCACTTACTCATGAACCGCCCAGTAGGGACCACGGCTTGGTTTTAGTCAAAATGGCTTAGTTTAGGGTTTAGGGTTTAGGGTTTAGGGTTTAGGGTTTAGGGTTTAGGGTTTAGGGTTTAGGGTTTAGGGTTTAGGGTTTAGGGTAAGATTTGGGCGGAGGTTTAACAGTTTCACTACATCACCACTACAAAGCCTTGCCCCTAAAGTCTGAGCGCCTTACAGCATTGAGCCGCTGCGCCTTTAAACCCCAAAGCCCTACTTGGAGGTTCATGGGTAGTTATAAATGGAGTTATAAGTTATAAGTCCCTTAATATAGGTTATAAGTATAGTTACCCTACTTATAACCCTCCTTATAACTACCCATGAACCTCCAAGTACAGTGGAAGCCCAAAAGTTGGAAACCCCAATAGCCTCAATCCTCAAGACGAATGTATAGGGGAATCCCCGTACTGAGTTGTCCTAAACCCTAAACCCCAAACCCTAAGCCCTGAGAGTAGTGTATAAGCAGTCCCAACACTAGTTGTCCTCAACCCAGTTCCAACTTCTTGGGGGCTTAGTATCTCCAGGCATCCCAAAGCCGGAGCCGTGGGATTCTGAGCCCTTATAAAGCCGACGGCCATGATCATGAATTTCGAGGTTTAGGGTTTGGGGATTAGGGTTTAGGGTTGAACCCTAAGTACGAAAGCCTGTAGCGAAAGCCTCTCTGAGACCCTATCCATTAAAAAGTTGTGCAACCTTTAATCCTTCAGCAGAAACTCTCTTGAAACAAACCCCTTTTGCTTCACAGAGACTCTTATTATCGGTATCTGCATAGGTAAACCCATAGAAGCCCTTGCAGCACCTTTACAGCGCCTTACAATAACCTTAAAGAAACCGGGCCCTCGTCAGCATAACATGTCATCCATGATCAGCCCAAAGGTGTGAAACCCATGCACAAAATAATCGCTGACATCTTGAACACAAAGCCCCCTGCCATTCCAATCCTAAGAGGCATCCTGATAGTAGCCCCCTATTGCCGCCAAAGCACTCCACCTTGAGGTTCTCTGAAGGGGAGGCGCTTCCGGTGCCCTCGCCTCAAAAAGCCCAGGGCTAGCTTCTTGCTCCTGTTTGGGGCCTAGCAGTTTTGAAAAGTTCGGGATTTAGGAAGTTTTGGTCTAGTGAGTCTAGTGCTTGGGCCTAAGTGAGGGTTAGTGGACTGCTTGAAAGATTTAGGGTTAAGGGTGTCGGATTTGGGGTTGACGGTCCTGGGTTGGAGGTGTAGGTCCAGGGTAGGTTTTAGGGCTTGTTGTAAATTCGTAAGTTCGCCTTCTTCTGCGTCAACGCACCTAAGCCCCCTAACAAAACTGCATCATCACCTCCAAATGCCCCCAAAATCCTTAAAGCCGAAATGGCCGAAATCCTCAAGCGTTTGAGGGTTCTGGCTTGAATTCAGAATTTCAGGTGTTGGTTCTATAACATCATCATATCAATTCAAACCTGTGTAAACCACCCCAAAACCCAGTAAAAGCCTTACAAAGCCCGAAAAGTGTCTTAAAAAAATAAAACCCCATGTCTAAAATGAAGCTCAAACAAACCTAAACCCTGCACCCTCAAGCCCAAAACCCTCATCTTGAATCCGAGAACCCTACACCCTAAAGCCCGACCCCCTCATCCTAAATCCTAAACCCCTAAATCCTAAATTCCTTACCCCGAAACCCCCAAATCCAGGGTGTAGGGTTTAGGGTTCAGCAGCTTTGACTTTGAAAATTTAGTTTCAACTTATTTTCGAGTAGACAACCCACCCGCCCATAGAATCCCACTACATTCGAAATAACACTTTTACATGTTGCAAATTGAACTCAATACACAACTTCACACAAAACACTCCAATATAAACAATGCTAATCAACATGCGGTCTCAAATTTAAAATTCGTCAGTGCTCTTATTCTTCTTCTTCAAGTTTTTAAGGCTTATTTCATTCACACAAGCAAGTTCCATTCATAGTTGGACTTCATTCATGATTTCATGTTGTCGTCTAGGTTGTTTTATATCATACAAACCCCTTCCCCTCAGTGGGTACACCAACGGTGACCAACAGAGGCCAACTTTAGGGTTTAGACTGTCGACGCCCTCGCTTCACGGACATCACATAAAAAACGTCCTGATACCTCTAGCTCACTCGGAAACACAACAACAGCAGTATAAAAAGACAGGTGGACACCACCGACGCCATCATTTGGCGGCCACAGCTTGGGCAGCATTATGGCCTAAGACCAGACAATCCCTGAAATCTCTAGTTCAATTGTGTGATACTAGACACAAATTTCCGCTGGATGTGTCCACCCCCCTGACGCCATCGGTTGGCGGCCACAGCTTCGGCAGCATGATGGCGTACTACCAGGCAAAACCTGGAATCTCTAGTTCACTTGTGTGATGCCAGATGCAATGCTGCAGCTTGCAGCCTGAC